CCATTTCTGCTGTCTCTTTATTACTATTGGCATGGAATATCTTTTTAATCCTTACACTTTCACCCTACTCATATCCTCAGATCTAAAGTGAGACTCTTTTAGACAGTATACAGTTGATTCTGGTTTTATATCCACTCTGCCAACTTATGATTTTTGATATGTTTTCAATCCAATTATATTTAAAGTAATTGCTAAGAAAGCAATTACTTTTGCCATTTTGTTTTCTCGGTCCCTTACAGCTTTTTTTCTCCCTCATTTCCTTGATTACTGCCTTCCTTCCTTTATGTTTAAAGTTGTTGTAATGGCACATTTTGATTCCTTTCTCACTTCTGCTTATGTATATTTTCTTGGTGTTTACCTTGGGCATTACATATAATATCCTAGAGTTATGATGATCTATATTAATTGATATCAACTTAACTTCAGTTGCATATAAAAACTCTACTTCCTTAAAGCTCTTCTCCCCTTATGTTATTGATGTCACAAATTATACCATTTAATATTATATACTCATTAACATAGATTCATAATTATTTTATGCAATTGTCTCTTAAATACTGTAGAAAATCCAAAGTGGAGCTATAAACAAAAATTACATTCATACTGTTTTTATATTTGTTCATATTTTTACCTTTACTGGAGAACTTTATATTTTCATATGTCTTCCAGTTACCATCTAGCATTATTTCATTTCAAACTGAAGGACTTCTTTTAACATTTCTTGTAGGGCAGGTGTAGTAATAATAAACTCCCTCAGCTTTTGTTTTTATGGGAATGTCTTAATTTCTCCCTCATTTTTGAAGAAATATTTTACCAGGTATAGAATTCTCAGTTGACAGTTGTTTGTTTTTTTTTAAATTTTCAGCACTTTAAATATATCATCCCACTGCCTCTAATCTCCAAGGTTGTTACTGAAATAATACACTGATAGTCTTATTGCAGATCTCTTGTACATAATGAGTAACTTTTCCCTTGATACCTTCCAAGATTCTCTTTATCTGGCACTTTTGCCAGCTTTGATTATGTATTTCCGTATGGGTCTCTTTAGGTTTGTCCTACTTGAAGACCATTGAGCTTGGATTTGTATATCCATGTCTTTCCTCACATTTGGCATGTTTTCAGCTATTATTTATTCAAATAGTCGCTCTTCTCATTTTTCTCACCTCCTTCTGGGACTCCCATTATGCATATCTTGGTCAGCGTGATGGCATCTCATAAGTCCCTAAGCCTCTGTTCACTCTATTTTTCTTCTGTATGCTTCTCAAATGCAATAATTTCAAATGAGCTGATTTCAAATTTGCTTATTCTTTCTTCTACTTGAGTTTACTGTTGAACTCCTCTAATAAAATTTTCAAATCAGTTATTGTACTTTTCAGCTCAAGAATTGTTTTTTATGATTTCTATCTTTGTTGATATTCTCATTTTGTTCATATGCTTTCCTTTCTTTGGTTCTTTGTTCATGTTTTTATTTAGTTCTGGGAGTATATTTGACAGTTGTGGGGTTTTTTTGTTGTTGTTTGTTGTTTTGAAACAGAGTCTCACTCTGTTGCCCAGGCTGGAGTGCAGTCATGTGATCTTGGCTCACCACAACCTCTGCCTCCTGGGTTCCAGTGATTATCATGCCTCAGCCTCCTGAGTAGCTGGGATTACAGGTGTGCAGTACCATGCCCCAATTTTTTTGTATTTTTAGTAGAGATGGGGTTTCACTATGTTGGCCAAGCTAGTCTCAAACTCCTGGCCTCAAGTGATCTGACTGCCTTGGCCTCCCAAAGTGCTGAGATTACAGGCATGAGCCATTGCACCTGGCCGACAGTTGTTTTAAAGTCTAGTAAGCCTGATGCCTGTGTTTCTTCCAGAACTGTTTCTGGAGATGTATTTTTTTCATTTGAATGGGCCATCTTTTCCTGGTTCTTTACATGCCTTATGATCTCTTTTTGAAAATTGGGTATTTAAAAAAAATGTGGCCACTCTCCCAGTCTTTGCAGACTGGCATGTAAGACCTCACTAATTTGTGAGCCCATGAGACCTTCACTAATCTGAGATTAGTCCAGGTCTTCTCGGGTATTTTCTAGGCATGCTTCCTTCCAGTGAATGTGTTTGTGGCGCCCCCTCCCCATCACAGGTGATTTTAAAGGTTTTCATTTCCTAAAGTCTCACTGCAGCTCTTTCTTAGGGCCTTAGATACTCTATTGTATTCTTCTGTTTGTAATCTCCTGCCCTCAGAAACCCAGAGGGCAGCAATCCCTGTGTAGTTTTCATGTGCTGCATTGCTCACCACTGCCTTCTGTGGCTTCCAGCCTGAAATCAAAACTATTTGCTGTTTCCTGTCTGATATCTGAGTTGGACATTATAGACACCAGTTCCACAGGCAGCCCACAGACAGGCCAGGATGTTGCAACAAGTTTCACTCTGCTCCTGTCCTGAGGGAGGGAACAGGGGATTGGGCCAGTTGCCTCTGACTGCACCACACAGGGAAGAGGGTAAGAGCAAATATTACAAAAATTCCTGTGGGGAAAAGAGAGAGAGATCAGACTGTTACTGTGTCTATAGACACAGGAGAGATCAGACTGTTACTGTGTCTATAGACACAGTAGAGATCAGTCTGATCTCTCTTTCTTTTCCCCACATTTCTTCCTTTTCTTTTCACACAGTAACAGTCTGATCTCTCTTTCTTTTCCCCACAAATTCCTACTTTTTTTTTTTTTTTTTAAGATGGAGTCTCACTCTGTCACCCAGGCTGGAATATAGTGGCACAATCTCGGCTCATAGTAACCTCCACCTCCCAGGTTCAAGCGATTCTTCTGCCTCAGCCTCCTGAGTAGCTGGGACTACAGGTGTGTGCCATAAAGCCTGGCTAATTTTTTATATTTTTAGTACAGATGGGGTTTCACCATGTTGGCCAGGCTGGTCTTGGACTCCCAACCTTGTGATCCGCCTGCCTTGGCCTCTCAAAGTGCTTGGATTACAGGCATGAGCCACTGCGCCCTGCCAGTTCCTACCATTTTTAAGGTGACTTTCTTGATTGGGCATTCACTTGTTTGCTGGAGGTATCTGACTAGTTTCCAGAACTCATAAAGTTATTTTAGTCAGTCTGTATTTATTTGATGTTTCCGTGGGAGTATGAGGGCTTAGAACTTCCTCTTTCATCATCTTGCTGATATCACTGTTAATTCATTTTTTCCTTGTGTTTCCTTATCTCTGTTCTTCATATTAAATTCTATTGATATATCTTCAAGGTTCACTGACTCCTTCCTTTTTCATCTAGTTTGCATCTAGTGAGTCTCTTCAGTGAATTTTTATTTTTTACATTTTTAGTTCTAAATTTTGTTTGGTTCTCAACATTTCTCTTTTGAAAATTCATATATTTTAAAATCATTTCTAGTGTATTTTTCTTGACCTCATGGGATGTAGTAATAAGAACTATAAGACTGTGTGTAAAAATTCCAAAGTCCAGGTCATCTCAGGATTGACATGTGCAGATTGTCTATTTCACCCAAGTGTTCACATTCCCATGTTTGTTTCTATGTCACATAATTTTGTAAATATTCTTCTTAGGGCCTTAGATATTCTATTGTATGGATGGATTGTGGATCCATATGACATAATAGACAGAGAAGCAACTGCACAGGGATCCCAGGATCTACAAGGTATAATATTTACTATATTGTGGCATTGGATGGAAGTTATGTTTTTGTGGATCATGTTACAATCATCTGGAAAATGCTGTTTTTGTTTTGGCAAGAAATCAGTCTGGTTAGATTGACTACAAGCGGTCTTGATCTTCTGTGGGTGGTGGTTAAAATCCCAGTACACTTCACAAAGCCTTTGCTCTGCTGGTTTGAGTCTGTCTCACTTATGAATCAGACTTATCCGGGTTCATACGCAGAATTAGAACTTCTTTCTCTCTGCTCTGGGATTCTCTTCTTGCTTTCACTCTTTAGCCCCCAGAGGGCCCTTTTTCTTTTCAAGGTGTTTTTGTTTTCCTCAGCTTCTATTTGGCTGGCCACTCCATGGTCATCACAGCACTGCTCCACAATAGGGCTGTGCCTTTGAGGCAAAAGTATTAGGTTGGTGCAAAAGTAATTGCAGTTTTTGCCATTACTTCTAACACCATGCTCAGGAGATAGATTCCAGCAATTGTGTTTATTTCTTGTAATCTGGGAAACGTATCCTTGTGTAGTTGCTTCTCTGTATTTTGACACCCTTCCACAATCCACCTGCTTTTGATTAATTTCAGCATGCTCAAGTAGTTCTTTTTCATATTTCATGTAGAGATTTTAGTTGTAATTTGTGGGAGGAATGGCCAGTAGTTGGCTTGTGCTGCCACTGTGGAATGAAAACTCTGCCTGGGTTTTTATCTTCATTTTGACATTTACCAGAAATTTGACTCTGGAGAAGCTAATCTCTATGTCTCGGGATGCCTACTTGAAAATGAGTAGTAGCAACAGACCTCATTTTTAATTTTTGGCATTGCTTTTGGTGGATAAAATATGATAATGGACATTAAGCACTAGTAACTGCTCAATCGAAACTAATGCTTATTTCTATTCTATTTTCGATAAAACTGAACATTTTGGATTACAATTACTGGAATAAACAATTTAGAACTAAAAAGTTAAGAGATTTGGTGAGTTAGCTAACTTTGACCTTGAAGGAAAGGTCAAACGGAAGACTAGGAAAAGCAAAATATCCCATCCTCTTCTGTAGCCCTTGGAATTACACCCTCAGTCCTTGTCAAGTGATAGCTATGAAATCAAGACAGGATGTTGCAAGGTCAATCAAGGGAGCTTGCAGGTATGCCTTCCATAAACTACCACATGAAACAACGGGACTCTCTAACAAATAAGAAAACAATTACTGATGCAGAGCATTGCTTTCCAATGAAATGACCCAATTTTCCCTTCATGCCTCTTTATTAAATTGTCCAAAAAAAAAAAAACCCAACTAAGATTCTTGTTTTCTAGTAATACATTATTCCTTCCATTTTGCTCCCTTGCTAGATGGCTGAAAAAGAACATGCAACCCACCGAAGACCTCAAGTCAGTGATCTGTAGGCTGTCCGCATTTGGCCCAATTCAGTCAGTCACTGTTTGTGGACGTCAAAGTGCTATAGTGGCATTCAAAGACATGACTTCAGCCTGTAATGCTGTGAGTGCTTTTCAAAGTAGGACCCCAGGCACCATGTTCCAGTGTTCCTGGCAACAACGATTCATGTCAAAAGACGTAAGTCTCTCTACTACCAAAAACTTATGTGAATTCTTAAGCTTGTTTTACAAAATTTTTATTCATCAGGGCCGTAGTGAAATATCATCATTGTAACTGATATTTTAGTACTGCAAAAGGCACAATGAAGCTTATTTAGTTCAAGTACTAGAAATCAGAGGTAACAGCACATCCTTCCTTGGACATGCTTTACTCCGCTGTAGTGGTCATCACAGTTTTGATTTTCTGGATAAGAAGTTCACCACCGCATTCATGCATTCATCTGACAGCCATCTTCCCTGAAGGACACTGCATTCTTCAGCATTAACAGCATGTAGTTTTTCTTTCTCTCTATTCCTGATTATCTCTTTTGAAATTCTCATGGCCTGGAAAAACAAAACCAACAATAAGGTGAAGAGTTCATCTAGGCTTGAGGTGGTGGCTCATGCCTGTCATCCCAGCACTTTGGGAGGCCGCAGCAGGCAGATCAGTTGAGGTCAGGAGTTCAAGGCCAGCCTGGCCAAAATGGTGAAATCCCATCTCTACTAAAAATACAAAAATTAGATGGTTGTGATGGTACATGCCTGTGATGGTAAATGCCTGTGATCCCAGCTACTCAGGAGGCTGAGTCAAGAGAAACGCTTGAACCCGGGAGGCGGAGGTTGCAGTGATCCGAGATTGCACCATTGCACTCCAGCCTGGGTGACAAGAGCGAGACTCTGTCTCAAAAAGAAAAAAAAAAAAGTTAATCTAACAGGAGTGGGATTCCTCTATGATTCTGGTTCTTGTTTCTCCCATGTTCATTTAATGAATCCTGTTAAATCTTTTTTTTTCCTGAGACACAGTCTCACTCTGTCGCCCAGGCTGGAGTGCAGTGGTGCAATCTTGGCTCACTACAACCTCCACCTCGCTGGTTCAAGCAATTCTCCCTGCCTCAGCATCCAGAGCAGTTGGGATTACAGGCACCCACCACCATGCCTGGCTAATTTTTGTATATATATTTTTTAATAGAGATGGGGTTTTGCCATGTTGGTCAGGCTGTTCTTGCACTCCTGACCTCAGGTGATCTGCCCTTCTCTGCCTACCAAAGTACTGAGACTACAGGTGTGAGCCACCATTCTCGGCCCTAATGCTGCTAAATCTTAAGCTGCATGTATAATATAAGACAGGGCTTCTTGAAATTCAGTGTGCATATAAATCACTTCAGTAGGTGTGGGGCAGACCTGTGATAACACATTTCCAAAAAGCCTCAGGTAGCTGCTCAAGCATCTGGTTCCAGGACTACATTTTGAATAGCAAGAATATAAAAGCAGTCACTCAGTCACTACCACATATAAAAACAAAAGTGCTACACAATAAGACTCTCCTAAAGTAGCTAATCCACGCTTCTCACCTGGATTCCAAAGGAAAAGTACTCAGCAAATACTGCCTAGCATCCTGCTCAAGCAATCCCCATACAGAATTGCCCCTCCGTCCCCACACAGAAATGGAAGGTCTATTTGATAAGTTTTGTAAAAATCAGTACTGTATTTCCAACATTACTACAGTTATTTCTTAATCCCAAATTTCGATGTGCTTAGAGGTAACTGAAGATGTGTCTTGTGTTTTTTATGACTTATTCTCTGAAGGCAAATACATTTTTCCCTTAGAAAATCATTTTCAAGGTTCTTAGAAGTAAAAGATAAATACTAACATTTGGGGGAAGCTTTGCAAATGCCTTCAGCCTGGTCCAGACTTCTTTCTGAAAAGTGCTATCAGGGAAAACTTCAGTAACAAGTCCTTGAGCACATGCTTCTCCTGCTGTTAACTTCTTTCCAAAAACAAGCATCTCTGTTGCCTGAAATGAAAAGCAAGAAGCAAGGTTAAGACAGTAACTTAATAAAACAAGGCTTCCGTTAACTGCTTTCAGGAGGCTGAGAGAGATTTACTCATGGTCTTTTGAGGTTGCTGGTATTTCTCAGTAAGGGAGAAGCTGATGACCTCAGTAGGCAATGGTCTGCAAACTGTGTGCGGAGACGGGCTCCCGGGAAGGTCTGTAAGGGCTGCTGCTTCTGTGTGTGTCGTTGTTGGAGGGGCAAGATCAGGGGGCCCAGGGCAGAAATGATCTGAAGCAGATGCTTGATTCTACAACCCACAGCAACTGTGATTTTCCATTTTATACACTATAAACTACTATTATTATTATTATTATTTTTTTTTTTTTTGAGACGGAGTCTCGCTCTATCCCCAGGCTGGAGTGCAGTGGCCGGATCTCAGCTCACTGCAAGCTCCGCCTCCCAGGTTTACGCCATTCTCCTGCCTCAGCCTCCTGAGTAGCTGGGACTACAGGCGCCCGCCACCTCGCCCGGCTAATTTTTTGTATTTTTAGTAGAGATGGGGTTTCACTGTGTTAGCCAGGATGGTCTCGATCTCCTGACCTCATGATCCGCCCGTCTCGGCCTCCCAAAGTGCTGGGATTACAGGCTTGAGCCACCGCGCCCGGCCCTATAAACTATTATTTTAAAGAGGCAAAAAGGAAAGAAAAATCACGGTCATTGGGTCAACCTTTAGAAACTTTCAAAATTCCGTTCTCTGGAAACTCTACCCAGTGATCTGGCTCTGAGAGTTTTCTTTACCTGCACTGGTACTCAAATTCGTTCTATTTGACTGAAGGAAAGTAAAGACTTACAGTTACGCTCCTGAAAAAACTGAAGACATTAAGCGGATATCCTCTCTACATCTGCAATTTCTTTTCCAGAAAAGGAATGCTCTTCTTTTTTTTGAGACAGGGTCTCACTCTGTTGCCCAGGCTGGAGTGCAGTGGCGCGATCTCGGCTCACTACAACCTCCGCCTCCTGAGTTCAAATGATTCTCCTGCCTCAGCCTCTTGAGTAGCTGGGATTACAGGTGCCCGCCACCATGCCCGGCTAATTTTTGTATTTTTAGTAGAGACGGGGTTTCACTATGTTGGCCAGGCTGGTCTTGAACTCCTGATCTCAAGTGATCCACCAACCTCGGCCTCCCAAAGTGCTAGGATTACAGGTGTGAGCCACTGCACCCGGCCAAGGAATGCTCTAATTAGTTAAATGCTCTAAGACTTGTAGAGTCGGTTCTGCCCCCTTCCCAAGTTCAATTCAGGGTCTGTGATAGCCTAATGAGAGTAAAAACATACAAGTTTTTAACAAAATCCTAATACGCAATGAAAACAGGCTCAATTCCCGCTGCCCCACTTTGAGATCTTGAAGAATATTTGCCAAGTCCTTTTCCTATAACTCAGCTTCCAGTCTTGTCACAATCTCCTTTAAGTCATGCCACAGGGCATTGGCAACAAGGAAACACAGTGAAAGACCTGAGCGGCCACCTAACCAGCCTGGGACAGAATACACCTGTGAGGCAGGCCGAGGGAGGGGCTGCTGTGATTGGGAGTGGCTCTGGCAGCAGTGAGCCCCCAAAACCTCCCATCTGTTGGTACTTACCATAACTCTGAAAATGAAGACATCATCATGTTTCTCCTTAGGAGACACTGGTCATCCATAAAGGAACCGAGTGGCCTCCAAACTCAGGGGACCAAGGGAGGCTGGCACAGCTCTGGTCCTTCAAGGGACTAATACCACACAGCTGCAAGGCGGAGGTGTTGTGCTGCTTGCAATGCAGCTAGCACTAAGCAGCCAGCTGAAAGAGGATCCCAGTTCCGGGAGTTGCAGAGAGAATGTCTAATTTTCCCGCATCGCAGATACTTCCCATAGCCTGATTCCTCCACTGGTAAAACTCTTAAGAGTTGAAGAGCAAATAATTAGCTTCTCTTTTGTCCATATCAGCAAGGGAAAGAACGGAGAGACCCATACAATTTTATTTTTAAACATTCCAAAAGTTACCTTGGCTGGGCTCATTATCTTCGGAAAAGTGTAAGACGAGCATCCTTCTGGACTTTGGCCGAGGTGACTAAATGGTGTATGAAATGTTGCCTGCAGGGGCAGGAGAGAAAGAAAACCATCCTTCCATGTGTGATTTTTTTTTTGTTTTTTGAGACAGAGTTTCGCTCTTCTGCCCAGGCTGCAGTGAAGTGGCGTGATCTCGGCTCACTGCAACCTCCGCCCCTCGGGTTCAAGCGATTCTCCTGCCTCAGCCTCCCACGTAGCTAGGATTACAGGCATGTGCTGCCATGCCTGGCTCATTTTTGTATTTTTAGTAGAGACGGGGTTTTGCCATGTTGGCCAGGCTGGTTTCAAACTTCTGACCTCAGGTGATCCACCCGCCTCGGCCTCCCAAAGTGCTAGGATTACAGGTGTGAGCCACCGCGCCTGGTTTCATGTGTTATTTTAAAAAATCACGATTTGCTTATAACTTCATAATACTTAATACTTATTTAAAAATTAAGATTATGTGGTTAATATGCACACACAATTCACCATTTAAAAGTGTATAGTTGGATGAGTTTTAACAAATACAGACTTATGTAGCCACCACCACTATTGAGATGTGGAACATTTCAACCACCCCGAAAGGTTCCGGGGGCCCTTCTATAGTCAGTCCCTCCCTCCCACCCACAGGCAACCGCTAATCTGTTTTCTCTCCCCACAGTTCTGACTTTTACAGAATGTTGTGTAAGTGGAATCCTACATTCTGTAGCCTTTTGAGTCTGACTTCTGAGAGTCACCATGCTGTTGTATAAGTAGTTTGTTCCTTGCTATTTCTGAGTAGTATTCCTTTGTATGGAGGTACAATAATATGTTTATCATTCACCAGTTAATGCCACTGGTGTTGTTTCTAGTATTCAAATAGTTGTACCATTTCACATTGCCACCAGCAATGTGTGAAAGGCTACTATGAAGAAGGCTGCCATGAAAAACAAGTTGAACACCTTAAATATACATAGTCGTGTGTTGCTTAACAATGGGGATATGTTCTGAGAAATGCCTAATTAGGCAATTTTGTCATTGTGCCAACATCATGGAGTATACTTACACATACTTGGACACTACAGCCTGCTGCACACCTAGCTATGTGGTCCAGCCTACTGCTTCCAGGCTACCAACTTGGACAGCATGTTATTATACTTAATACTCTAGGCAGTTATAACAAATGGCATTTGTGTATCTAAATATATCAAACATAGAAAAGGTAGGCCGGGTGTGGTGGCTCACCCCTGTAATCCCAGCACTTTGGGAGGTGGAGGTGGGCAAATCACCTGAGGTCAGGAGTTCGAGACCCGCCTGGCCAACATAGTGAAACCCCATCTCTACTAAAAAATACAAAAATTAGCCTGGTGTGGTGGTGTGCACCTTGAGTCCCAGCTACTCGGGAGGCTGAGGCACAAGAATTGCTTGAACCTGGGAGGAGGAGGCTGCAGTGAGCTGAGATCATGCCACTGCACTCTAGCCTGGGTGACAGTGAAAAAAAAGGTATAGTAAAATATGGTGTTACAATCTTAGGGGACCACCATTTTACATGCAGTTTGTCATTGACTGAAATGTTGTTATGCCGCACCTGACTGTACAATTCTTATTTGTCAATTATACCTCAATGAAACTGAAAAAAAATTAAAAAATAAAAATGTTCAGATAATTTTAACAAAAAGGTAGTTAGGAACACTTGTATACAGGTCACTGGGTGAAAACTGAGTGTTTGCAATTATCACAGGTAAATACCTAAGTGGTGGAATGGCTGGGCTGTGTGGTAAATGTATATTTAGCTTAGAAGCTGCTAAACTGTTTTCTAGAGTGGTTGTACCATGTGACATTCCCACCAGCAATGTATGAAAGTTCCAATTGCTCTACATCCTCACCAAACCTAGTTATTAAAAGTCTTCTTCATTTTAACCATGCTAGTAGGTGTATAGTGGGGTCTCACTGTGGTTTTAATTTACGTGTCCCTAACCATTAATGGTATGAAGTCTTTTACCATGTACTTATTAGACATATGTATATTTTCTTTGGTGAAGCAACTGTTAAGATATTTTGTTCACTATTTTTTAAGTTAGGCTGTTTACTTTCTTATTATATAGTTGTAAGATGCACATTCAGGTTGCAAGTCTTTTATTAGAGCATCAGGCAAATCTTTTCTCCTGCTCTGTGGCTTATATTTTCATTTTCTCAGTGGTTTCTCTCATATGGTTTTAATAGCCCTTTACATTTCATTTTGTCTAACCTATTCATTCCTCACCATTGCCCATTTTTATTTTAGCTTTATAGACAAACTTTAAAAAATACTGTAGAGAGATCAGCTTTTGTTACATGAGTTGAAAAACTGTTTCCAGGCCGGGCGCGGTGGCTCAAGCCTGTAATCCCAGCACTTTGGGAGGCCGAGGCGGGCGGATCACGAGGTCAGGAGATCGAGACCATCCTGGCTGACACGGTGAAACCCCGTCTCTACTAAAAAAATACAAAAAACTAGCCGGGCGAGGTGGCGGGCGCCTGTAGTCCCAGCTACTCGGGAGGCTGAGGCAGGAGAATGGCGTGAACCCGGGAGGCGGAGCTTGCAGTGAGCTGAGATCCGGCCACTGCACTCCAGCCTGGGTGGCAGAGCGAGACTCCGTCTCAAAAAAAGAAAAAAAAAAAAAAAAAGAAAAACTGTTTCCTCAATCTGTCATTTGTCTTGATTTTGCCCCAGTGGTTTTTTGATTGGCTTTAACTACTGGAATTAATTCCATATTGGTTATTTAGTATATAGTCATTTTTAGTTTTTTTCATTTTTTTTACATTTAAGAAACATTTTTGTGTTTCTTGATGAGTAAATTATGAAAGAATGTTAATTTAAAATTTATAATATGTATTTAGATGATAAGAATATCTAAATTTATCTAAATTTTCATATTTAACTTCAAAATTTGGCCATATGTATCTAAATTTTATCTAACTTCAATACTAAGAATATTTAGATTTCATTTCCTATAACCAGACACGGTGTTATTTTTAATGCATAATTGTTAGAAGATATAAATCTATAATGTATGCTATGCAGCATATAAATAAAAATAATCAAAAAATCAAAATATTTTAAAAAGTTTGTTAATGTCATGTATCTTCTTTTTTTATCCAAAAGAAAACTTATTCAAAAAAATGTACCCAGAAGACACAGCCTAAGGAATGTAAGCAGGAAACTGAGAAAACTGCCAACAACAGCTAAAGGGACACAAACAGGTACATGCAAAGTTGCCAATAAGCAGCATTTAAAATGCTTATTTTCAGAAAGAGAGCAGAAGATGGAGTTAAGGGTTTAGGCTCTGGCATCAGACTACTTAGTGACTTTGGGAAGGTTTCTTGCCCTCTCTGGGCCACAGTTTTCTCATTTGTAAAATGGGAACCAATCCTTCTTTTTTTGAGATGGAGTCTCGCTCTGTCGCCCAGCCTTGAGTGCAGTGGCACAATCTCGGCTCACCGCAACCTCTGTCTCCCGGGTTCAAGCGATTCTCCTGCTTCTGCCTCCTGAGCAGTTGGAATTACAGGCATGTGCCATGACACCCAACTCATTTTTGTAGTTTTAGTAGAGACGGGGCTTCACCATGTTGGCCAGGCTGGCCTCAAACTCCTGACCTCAAGTGATACACCTGCCTTGGCCTCCCAAAATGCTGAGATTACAGGCATCAGCCACCATGCCCAGCCTAGATTGTAAAAATTATTTTTGCCACATTGGAGGAGAATGTTTGTTTTTATAGACAGGGTCTCACTCTGTTGCCCAGCCTTGAGTGCAGTGATGTGATCTTAAGTTCACTGCCACCTCTGCCTCCTGGGTTGAAGCAATTCTCTTGCCTCAGCCTCCCAAGTAGCTGGGACTATAGGCGCCCACCACCATGCCTGGCTAATTTTTGTATTTTTAGTAGAGATGGGGTTTCACCACATTGGCCAGGCTGGTCTTGAACTCCCGACCTCAGGTGATCCACTTGTCTTGGCCTCCTAAAGTGCCGGGATTACAGGTGTGAGCCACTGCACCCGGCCAAGTCCTTCTTTCATAGGGCTGTTCTGTACATTATGTGAATATGTATGCATGTATGCGTATACTTATAATAAATACAATGCATGTAACAGAGTGCCTAAACAGTGACCACTCAAAGATTTATCAGTTATGATTTCTACCTTTTTCTTAACTCATACAGGAAATGTATCATTTGCTGACAGAGCTAATAGGCATTAGTAACGATTGCCCACAGTACAAAATAGATAAAATGTACTAATTTATATTTTGGTTATATGGGTTAAATATTAACCCATCATTTAATATATTTATTCTTGAAGCCAATAATGATAAATCCTATAAAACGATTTTTTCTACAGCCTTTTCCTTTAGCATATTTCCATTATTTTATTTATTTTTTGCTTATATATTTTTTTGAGATGGAGTCTCGCTCTGTCACCCAGCTTGGAATGCTGTGGTACGATCTTGGCTCACTGCAACCTCCACCTCCTGGGTTCAAGCAATTCTCCTGCCTCAGCCTCCAATGTAGCTGGGCTTACAGACACCTGCCACCAAGCCCTGCTAATTTTTATATTTTTAGTAGAGATGGTGTTTCACAATGTTGGCCAGGCTGGTCTTCAACTCCTGACCTCAGGTGATCTGCCCACCTCAATTTCCTTTATTTTAAATTGATGCTTGGTTTATTAGATTGGGTAAACTTTTATCAGCAGATACTATTTGACAAATAAATTTTACTTTTGGCCAAATTTTTTAACATTTAATATACATATGCAATATACATTATAATATATAGACTAGATACGTTTTATATATATTGTGTATATATCTTCTCTGATTTCAACATTATAATTTATATCATAAGATGGAAGTCATCAAAATTTTTAAAAGGATGACGTAGGCCAGGCTCGGTGGTTCACACCTGTACTCCCAGCACTTCGGGAGGCCAAGGCGGGCGAATCACTTGAGGTCAGGAGTTCGAGACCAGCCTGGCCAACATGGTGAAACCCTGTCTCTACAAAAAATACAAAAAAATTAGCTGGGTGTGGTGGCGTGCACCTGTAATCCCAGCTGCTCAGGAGGCTGAGTGGGAGAATCGCTTGAAGCCGGTAGGTGGTGGCTGCAGTGAACCAAGATCGTGCGGCTGCACTCCAGCTTGGGTGACAGACTGAGACTTCCATCTCTTAAAAAAAAAAAAAGATGTATATTGAAAGTAATTTTCAATTCAGTGGGAGAATCAGAACAAGATTCAAATACAATATTTGCCCTCCAAGTATTAAAGAAAGAGATCCCCAATTTTAGGTCAGGAGCTATTGACCCAGTCCCTGTTAAAAGCAGGTCGATGACTAATCAGTCACATAACACAAGATTGTGAACGAAGACATTGATTTCTGCCTCTGAACAGAAACCTCCACCTACAAAGGTTGGGCAGCCTGGCACCTAGAATCTCATTTGCTGTTTTTTGCGGGAAAATTATTCATAAGAATTAGGTCTGTCAATACATCCAATCTGGTTCAATGGAATCCAGCAAAAGAAAATTCAAAGAATTAAGGATGCTATTATATGGTCCTGTGTATCAGTGGGGAAAATTACCTCTGAACAAAACTAGAAATCTCTTCAGTGGTAAAAACCATGTTTCCTAGAAGGCTGTAATCAGCACATTTTACCATCACATAAGCATAAGTCACTGGAACAATCTGATGCCCTAAAGGTGGTTATTAGGTGCTTGTAATGATAAAAACTGGAAACAGCCTAGGGTTCCAGCAGGCAGGGACTGGTTAAACAAGATAAGTTAATAACCCAAATGTTAGGACTGGTTATCTCTAGGTGGTAAAATAAGGAGTGATTTTTACCTTGTAGCTTTTCTTGGTACTTTTTCATATCTTTCAAAATTTTATTTTCCACTATGACATATATATTACTACTATAGTAAAACTAAAAACTAAAATCTATATAATGCAATGGTGAACACAAGGCTGAATTGTGTTCTGGGCAAGGAACTTCTCAGAGCTTCAGTTTTCTTTTTTTTTTTTTTTTTTTGATCTTGTCTGGGGGCATGGGACTAGCTCCTCAGCCCTCCTTTCTTCTCCTGCCACCAGAGGGCAGGTGGAGTGATAGTAGAACTATGTTACAGTGGTCTCTTCTATCAGTTCCTAAATGCTATACAGGTGCCCGCCCATTCTTCTATCTCAAGGAGTAAAATCCAATTCTTTCATTAAATCCATTTACTCAGTAAAAAGGATTAAATAATCCCTTCCACAACCTGCAAAGATGCTGTTCCTCCCTCCCATAACAAATTTTCCAGTGTCTCCTGAATATTTCAGAGTAACATGAAAACTGAGTACCTGTTGTGGAACTTGATTAGAATCTAGAACAATCAGAGTTGGAACAATGTTTACAACAAAATGCAAGTTAATAATGAAGGAAAAATAAAATCAGTCAAATTAGACTAATGCTTTGGGAAAAATCTAAATTCAGTTAATTCTACCACAAACAACATGTAACCTGCTTATGACTGGCAATGCTGAAGGAGGATTCAAAGGCTCCCGTCTCGTGTTGCTTGCCTGACCTCTTGCTTTCTGGGAGCTGACTTACCCTGTCAGATGCATACACGGCATCGAATAACCCAAGGAGGGTGACGGAGATGCCCACAGCTGGACCATTGACCACTGCAATCAGAGGCTTAGGAAAATCTATAAAACAGCCCACAAATTCCCTACAGAAATGGAAACACAAAATCATGAAATGTGCCAAAGCAGCATGACTGAAGCAAGGGCAAGACGGTCTGACTCTGAGATAAAGCCTTTTGTCAGGCTGGGTATTTCCACTGCCACCACCGGCAGCGCCTCCCTGTCCTGCCACTTCCCTGATCTTCCGCACCAGATTCATCCAGGGCATCCATTTGAATGGCAGTGGATGGAAGACCAACCGGAGAGACCTACAGGTCAACCCTGGTTTGAATCCTGTATTCTGGACAGCGAGTTCAGGGCTGTAAACCAGCCGCAGTCTTAGAGATGAGGTTAGGTGACTGAGCACACGCTGCAATGTCACAGCAAGTGGGAATGGCAGATTTGGCAGGAAAAAAGAGGAAAGCTCCATGACGTCCTCCTGTGTTTTATAAGACTCCTCCGCGTCTCCTACTTTCAGCATTCATGGAAATCGCCCATTCCGCTGGCTGGATGAGAATTTGCCACATTCCTCTACCTCAATGCAAGATAATTTTGTTTACAACTATAGCTCACTCTTATGTTTTCCAGTCAAATCTCATGAGACCAGCAGGATGAACAGGTAACAGAGGTCAAAGACAGAGAATGAATGCCCACCTATGGATGGAGGCAGTTTAGAGAAATATGCTTGTCCAAAGTCACAATTAACTGCACTGACACAGAGAAGTAGATATTTCACTTTTGCTCAACTACCTACCACTTTGATGACTAAGAACGGGCGCTCTGGGATCACAGGAAGGTCGGTTACTCTTACCTCAGTAAGATGGCACCATTTTTAGCTTTCTCCTCTACTCCACCAGGGGGAATATCAGTGAAGTTAGTCAGGTCGTTCCCACTACTGTAATAGTCACCATTTCCTGTAAGTAAGAAAATCAACAGATCCCTCATTCATTCATCCTGTAATTCTTGAGTATCTACTGCATGGAAAACTCTATGGTTAGACACGGGAAATACACTGGAGAACGAGCGATGGTTCCTGCCCTAACTTACCAACTAGTGAGTACACGGGACACTGATCTATAAAAACACACAGATAAATGTAGCTAATGCCACTGCTGAAATAGAGGTGCATCATGAAATGAGGGTATGTACCAGGAGGGCTGGTCTAACCAGGGAGTTCAGGAAAGAACTTTCCTAAGGAAGGGACAACTGAATTGAGATCTGTGCAAAGGCTCTTCAGAGAGGTTATCCCCAGTGTAGATGAAATAAGAGCCACTGTAGCTGACTCAGAGAAAGCCAGGGGGAAGTTGGTGCAGGGTGTGCACTGGCAGAATAGACCTGACGGTGCTTCGTAGATCCCATGAGGAAGTTTTTTCCTTTATTCTAAGAGCCATTGAAAGTGTGCTTCTGAGTGTGCATGTTTAATTAAAGTATAATTTATGTATAATAAAACAACCAGTTCTTAAATGTTCGTTTAGTTGTTTTAATATTTTTAAATACCCACAAGATCACCATCCAAAACAAGATACAGAACATCTCCGTCACCCCAGAAGTTTCCCGTAGGCTCCTTTCTAGCCATCCCACCTGCTCCAAGGCAATCACTTTCTGACTTCAATTTCCACAGAGAAGAACTTCTGCCTACTGTAGAACTTTCTACAAATGGACTCATATAAATATGTAAACTCCTGTCTTTATTTTGCTGAACTGCGTTTTAAAGATGCATCCATATTCTTGTATCATTTATTCTATTTTATTGCTGAGTACTCCATTGTACAAATAGTCAACAATTTGTTTATTTATCCGTGTGTTTCTGAACATTTGAGTTGTTTTCTGGTTTTGGCAGTTATAAATCAGGTTACCATGAGTGCGCCTGTAAAAGTCTTTTTGTGGACATTATGTGTCTTAATTTATGTTGGGTAATTGCAAAGAAGTGGATATCTGTGGGTTTTTAAAAATATTTTTTGTGTATTTATAAACCAGAGTATGACAGCACTGGAAAAGAACTTAGAGTTTTAATTATTTATTTATTTTTTGAGACAGAGTCTCGCTCTGTCGCCCAGGCTGGAGTGCAGTATTCTGACCACCTCCTACTCTGCCCACACTAGATAAGCCTTAGCACCTCCTCTGAGTTCCCTGCTGCTTCGTACTTTCTACCCTCCTCCTCTTTTGAACATGATAGTCCTCTGTTAATTCCAAAAGCTCCAGGACTATTTCTTTCTTGTTCCCTTTTGGAAAAAAAGTGGTTCGCGATCTTGCCTCACTGCAACCTCCACCTTCCGGGTTCAAGTGATTATCCTGCCTCAGCCTCCTGAGTAGCTGGGATTGCAGGTGCGTGCCATCACGCTTGGCTAATTTTTGTATTTTTAGCAGAGATGGGGTTTCACCATGTTAGTCGGGCTGGTCTCGAGCTCCTGATCTTGTGAGCCATCCGCCTCAGCCCCCGGGTCTCAGAGCTTTTTAACTCAATTTCCTATCTATTAAGACGCCCCTCAAAATAGGAATTTAATTAGGATGTCTGAGAAAATCTGTTACCTGTTAAAACAGTGATGGCTGAGTCATCCTTGCTGGCAGCTTTAAGTGCATGCATAATTTCATGATACATCTGTGTAATGGGAAGACAAGGAAAAGAAAAGAACTCTGAACACAGGACTCATCCATCAGTGGATTCACTAAATGTCAGGCTGGAAGCCTGCTCTCAGCAAAGTGCCTAACATTTATTTTGGTTGTATTTTATAACCAAAAAAGGTGGACCGATACACCTGAAAGAATTTTCATTCCTTTTACAATTACTTGGTGCATATTATGTACCTGGTGCTATGGTAGGAGCTGCTGGCTATAAACCACTTTTTTTCCAAAAGGGAACGAGAAAGAAATAGTCCTTGAGCTTTTGGAATTAACAGAGGACTATCATATTGAAATGAGGAGAGGGGTGGAAAGCCTGAAGCAGCAGGGAACTCAGAGCAGGTGCTGAGGCCTATCTAGAGAGGGCAGAGTAAGAGGTGGTCAGAGAAAACTTTCTACAAAGCAACGTCTCTGTTGTGACCTCAAGGAAGCCCCTGGCAGTCTGGGAAGTGTCTGGCTGGAATTTTCAAGACACTGTAATGGTATTCAAGGCAGGGGCCGCAAAATTTTAAATCAGCAACATTTCTGAAAATCTTGGACATGCAACTATATAGCTTTTAATGCATTTAAAACAGGTGCAATTTCAACCTTAGATGAGATTTCAGTGTGGGAAAGAATGAAGAGGCCTGATACTTATAGATATAAATACACTGCAAAAGAAACATGGACTTCACATAAAACAGCTGGCCCTCTGTATCCACGGGTTCCACATCCATAGATTCAACCAATCACAGATCAAAAATATCTAGAAAACAATTCTGTGTCTATACTGAACATGTACAGACTTTTTCTCTTATCATTAGTCTCTAAACAATAAGGTATAACAACTATTTTAATAGAGCATTTACATTGTATGCAGTATTATAAGTACTCTAGAGATGATTTAAAGGATATGAAAGTGTATATAGAGGTTATATGCAAATATTACGCCTTTTTATGGGGGACTACAGGTTCCGCGGATTTTGGTGTCCATAAGGAGGTCCTGGAACCAATCCCCATCAGATACCAAGGGATGACTGTACATGAATAAGCATCTAAGCATTTCTCCTGAGGGAAGTGATAAGGAACTCACTCCATCATTATTATAGTTATAACACAACACAGCAGGGCAACTGGTGAGACCAGGATTAGAAGATGGATTATCAGGGTTTCTTTTTATTTTTTTGAGATGGAGTCTCACTGCGAGGCCCAGACTAGAGTGCAATAGCGTGATCTCAGCTCAACCACCACCTCCCCAGTTCAAGAGATTCTCCTGCCCCAGCCTCCCCAGTAGCTGGGACTATAGGCGTGCACCACCACGCCCAGCTAATTTTTTGTATTTTTAGTAGAGATGGGGTTTCACCATGTTGGCCAGGCTGGTCTTGAACTCTTGACTTCAAATGATCTGCCCACCTTGGCCTCCCAAAATGCTGGGATTACAGGGGTGAGCCACCACGACTGGCTATCAGGGTTTCAATTTAGGTTTTCCTACTTATTTGTTATGTGAACTTGAGCAAGTTACTTCTTAATCTAATTATCTTATTATTAAGAAATGATAACAGTAGGCTCCTTGTGAGGATTAAATAAACGTCTGTGTAGAGAGTGCTGGCACTCATTAGGCACTCTGTACAGAGTAGCTGTGATTACCATAGCTGTAGAGAAATGAGTCAGGGCAAAGTGGAAATAAAGTTTGAGCATTAAATGCTTTATGAGTTGAATGACATATATCCCACTTCAGGAAATTCTGAAGATGATTTTAAAGTGAGTATGCTCTTTCTGCCACAATGGAGGTTACTGACCCAACAGCTATAGTCCTCTCAAATTTTAGTCCCAGTGGAGCACCAAGCATCCAATTAATTCCCTATAATTTTTTTCAAGGAGAAGGGGCTAAAGTGGTTATTTTATTATCATTCTAGTTCAATGAGAGATTCAAAGACTGAAGTTGCCGAGTGAAGCAGCTACTTTAAAGCCGAGTTGGGTAATGATTTAAGATAAAGTCCTTCTCTCCTTTCTCCCTATACTTGTAAAAAATGAAGCCCCCATGCAAGCAGAAAGACTTACTTTCATGTCTAAGTGACATGAAGATACTTCTGGGAGCAGTCTACACCAACATAGATGGCTTCTATGCGAATTCTCTCACAGTAACATGTTTCATTTATATTATTTGTGCTTCCATCATTAGGAAAATCATGGTGCCTTTTGGGTATATCAGAACCTACCTGAAGTTCACAAACTCTAAACAATGAACGCTCGACTCTGTTGTATGAAGTAGCCACAATTACCAACCTTCCTGCACAAATCAAACAAGACATACCATAAAATAGGAATGATGCTGAAACTCTACAGCTTTTGCGTGAAACACATAGAAGAAGAAAAGAAAAACAGGACAAACTCCGAGGGCAGGTAACATTACCTCCACGTTCAGGGCATTTTTCTTTGTGGGCCGGTTTAACATGATCTTTGTGATGCCATCTTCGGAGGTCACCATCAGAGTTTCATACCCAGTTGATTTCCTGTCTGTTCCAGGCTCCACCTGACTAGAGGATTCCAATGAAGAACTCAAACTGGACACCAAATCCACATAGTTCTGCCTGGCAGTTTCCTGAATGGAAGATGACAAACAGCCTCAGCCCATGGTCAATGAATAAGCACGTTGAGAAAGTTACTAGACTAATAACTAGCATCTTGCAATGAAGAAAGAATAGAAGCACATCAAGATCTTGAAGGCTCCATTTATAATGGCTTAATGAGAAGCACCAAACTTCTTTAGAATGACAGCAAATAAAAGCAGAGTAACTAGTAAATTCACCTTGGGCAGGCTGCCAAGGGCATTCCATGCATCCCATTTGGCCTTGTTGATCAAGTCAAATACACCTGGTTTGGGCATGTTACAAGGTCCTTCAGTGGCCTGTGAAAAGGAGAGGGGCAATATAGTCAAGTGACCATGTAAACTGGATCCCTAAATATTTAAGACCCATAAAATCCACAGGCGCATGAATGCCTCCCCCAAATCCTTTCACAGGGTATGTAAATTGATCTGAATTCTCCCCTCCAGTCTTTTTGGTGTTATTGCCAAAAATGCACAAACAACAGAAAAAAGACTGGAAATAAATAACTGCCTGTCTATGAAAATAAAGGTTTTGGGGAAGTACTTTCTAAAAAAATCTAATGATTCATTAGTTTTATATTGGTAATCATATTTTCCACAAACAATCAAAATATTCAAGCAATCTTTAAAAGGAACTAGTCAACAAATATTTGGAAACCGACAGCATATTCCAAAAGCCCATCTAAAGGTACAAAAAGACACCACGAATTCAGTGGTGGACTTTTGGTACCTGGGCAACGAAACTGCAGCTGAGGGGCTAGGGTGGGGCTGTCAGAGCCACTGATTCTTAGGAAACTTAACTGAAAAACATGTAAGTAAAATGCAAAAAGGAATTAAATTTTATTTTTGAGGCTAGACGGAGTGGGTATTTTGAGATGAATAATTATATCCCATTCAGCTACTTTTCAGAAATGGCAATTCAAAATTCCACTTAAAATTTTAAAATTTTATAATACAGTTAGCTAAAAGAGGAAAGAAGAAAGAGTCTTTGGAAAACAGGCCGGGAGGCTCACACCTGTAATCCCAACACTTTGGGAGGCGGAGGTGGGTGGATCACCTGAGGTCAGGAGTTCGAGACCAGCCTGACCAATATGGTGAAACCCCATCTCTACTAAAAATACAAAAATTAGCCAGGCATGGTGGCGAGTTCCTGTAATTCCAGCTACTCGGGAGGCTGAGGCAGGAGGATTGCTTGAACCTGGGAGGTGGAGGTTGCAGTGAGCTGAGATGGTGCCACTGCACTCCACCCTGGGTGACAAAGCAAAACTGTCTCAAAAAAAGAAAAAGAAAAAGGCAGTAAAGGAGGCTATGAATTTCTTTAGATAGAGATAGTGTCATCTGGCAAGAGTTAGCCAACCTAGAAGTTAGAGGGAACACAGCCCACAGCATAAGGGCTTGCCCTTGTCTCCTGACTGTCCTCAATGCTACCACCGACTGCAAGGCTGGAGGGCGCCCAAGACCACCCTCAGGTGCAATAATTTACTAGAAAGACACCCAGAACTCACTGCAAGTTGTTAAACGCACAGTTAGTAGTTTATTAAGGGAAAGGATAGAGATGAGAATCATCCAAGGGATGGAGGATTGGGGTAGTAGCAAACGTGGAGTTTCCACTGTCCTTTCCCCATGGAGTCAGGACAGGGCACCTCTCCCCGAACTGATGTGACAGGGAGTCCTGCCAACCAGAGACGCTCAGCTCATCAGTCTCAGTGTCCAGAGTTTTCAGTGGGGCTCCATCACCTGTGCCTGACTGTATAACCTGAAGCCCCCACCCTAAATCACATTGTTAAGACAATCCAGGCAAATAAAGACACTCCTATCAGGCTTTAGAGATTCACTTCCCAGAAGCTAAGGACAAAGCCACACGTCCTTTGGGACAAGGTTAAATTTTTTTACTATACACACCCATATGAAAGAGAAGCTCATACCCATCATAGCACAGAAAAACAGATAACACAGGAGCCCAGAGAGGCAGATACATCGGGGAAGTCTTTGGCATTGAAACTTCAAAGCTTTAGGTTTTAAATTTTGTTATAAACATTTCCAAACATACCAAAGTAGAATACGATAATGAATTCCCAATACCCATCATCCAGGTTCAACAACGATCAAATTGCCTTACTTGCTTCATCTCTCTCTCTCTTTTCTTTTTTTCTTTTTTTGACAGAGTTTTTGCTCTGTCACTCAGGCTGGAGTGTAGTGGCGCAATCTTGGCTCACTGCAACCTGATTCAAGCGATTCTCCTGCCTCAGCTTCCCAAGTAGCTGGGATTACAGGTGCACGCCACTACGTCCAGCTAATTTTTGTATTTTTAGTAGAGACGAGATTTAACCATGTTGGCCAGGCTGGTCTCAAACTCCTGACCTTAAGGGATCTGCCCGCCTCAGCCTCCCAAAGTGCTGGGATTACAGAAGTGAGCCACCATGCCTGGCCTCATCTATCCCTTTCTTTCTTTTTTTGCTTAGAGAACTTCAACTATCCATTGTTTCACCCCTATATCCTTTAGTATGCACTTCTTAAAAATATCAACATTTTCTTATATAACCTTGACACCATTAACAATGATTTCTAGGTATCTTCTAACACTCTGACCTTATTCAAAACTTCCCCAATTATCTTAAAAATACCTTTTTCAATTGATTTATTCTAATCAAGAGCTAAATAAGGTCTACAAATGTGAATATTATATCTCGTAAGTCTCTTTTACTCTGGCATGACACTGAGGCACTTTGTGCCTTGATAATATTTCAAGGTCTAATATTAAAAAACTTGCGCGCATATACATACATACATATATATACACACACACACACATATATATATACACACACACACACACACACACACACACTTAAGAGGGAGCAAGACAAACCCAAAATATTAAGGCTACATTTTAGTAAACACACAGTTTATCTACTTAAGGAGTCATTTGCCTAAAATTATTTAAATGTCAGACCGTAGGCATTTACCTGCTTATACAGTGAGTAGAGTTTTAGCTTCACTTCATTTCCTGGATCCTTCTTCAAGAGTTTCACTTGATTCATTGCATTTTCAAAGTCCTTCTGACTGGCTCTCATTGCTGTTCTATTCAGGTGCAGCTGAACTACTGGGAAACTAATGACCTGCAGAGAACTACAATTAGGCAGACTGATTTCTATATGTTCCCAACCCTCACATTTCTGCAGCCTGATTTCTAATTGTTCCCAAACCATACATACTAAAATGCTATGTTTGTCCATATTTTCTTTATACTTGCCTCTGCAAACTGGCTGCAAATAATTGGCTGTAAGGATTCCAAGATAGTAACTCAATACGGAAGCTAACAGTACTAACTTTAAATAAATGGAAAAGTAAATAACCATCCAGGGAAGTATTTGTAAGCAATTTAAGATAAAAACAGCCAGAACAGGAATACCATGTAAATTTTGCCAAAAGCAAGAAGTGAAGCGCATGCAAGACAGTGAACAGCAAGAGACCAAAAAGCTAAAGTGCACAGAATTTTGTAACGTGTCCCAAAGTCCTGAAACAGCCTCTGCACTCACTGATAAGCCATAAACTATATCAGGTCAATTCTTGTCTCTTTGCTGGAAAACCGGTTTCCAACATACACACAGGTGGAAGGAAGGGAGAATGGATGTGAATATACAAGAAATATTCAAAAGGGCATAGGAACAGTTGCTGGCATTCCAGACAGAGCCACAGCCTTCTCAGCAGATGGGAGGGAATCTACCTGCAGTGGAAGGGAGTCAGTGAAGGAGGAGGCTCAGCAGGCGTGCCCCCTTTTGTGGGGATGTTTAACCAGCCAGCCAGGAACAGAGCAGAAACAGTAACCACCGCGGGGTGACGAGCAGGTTTTTAAGCACACATAGTGAGCGGGGGTGGGGTGGCAAACTTCAATGCACAGGACTCAGGCAGGCCACAAGCAAAAAATGGATGTTCACGACGATGACCCGGAATAGCAGAGTTAATGGCATCAAAGATGATTAAAATAATACAGGTTACAAAGCCCAAACCTCACACACAAACACAATTACGTAACTCGAAAATGGTACAATGAACTCTAGGTTCAAACTTTGGACTATTAGTAACTGATTCAGTAAGATCAGCCTACAGTAAGTTTTATATTAAAATGATTTTCTGTAAAGGGAAAAACTGCATCTTATATGGCAAATTCCAAGTAGAAAACGAAAGAAAAATTTAAAATGTCCACAAAAAGAAGAAACGTACAAGTTTCCACAAAATGTGGAACAAATTATTTATTTTTAAATAAAGCGTGAGTTTTAAAAACAAATAGCAAAAACACGACCATTTAAGAAATACATAAAGTCGGGAAAATCACTAATAATTTTACCACTTCAAGGCCACCACCGTGTTTCGGTTTTGTTCCCTACACACAGATTCGTGCGGGGTTCCCGGGACCCCAGGGACGTGGAGCGTGCTGCTTAGCCGTGACTGCGTACCCGGCCATTTCACTTTATAGCATACGAGTTCTCCAAAGGGCAAAGAGTGTTAAGTCCACACGAGTGGTAACGGCTTGCGTTTACCTCGCTTTTAGCAAGCAACGCTTTGCACCCCAGAGGCAGCCCGGCTGGGAAGTGCAGGCCTGGGTGTCCGGGGAACCACCGTGCCCAGCTGGGCGGCTCACCCGCCCGGAGTCCGGCCCCCGGAGGATGGGAGGGTGCGCGAACGCAGGCGGAGACCTCGGGGACTGCGGACAGAGAACCATAGCCCTGATCTCCCGACGCGCCCATCCTGACCCCTCTGGGCCCATCGGTGCAGGAGGGCGCGCGAGTGAGGTGGTTATCCTTTAGTACTGCCTCCCTGGAAAACCAGCAAAGAAAGTCCTGTTGCCACCTAGACAATAGGGAAGGAGGGTCTTCCAACGGCGATGACCTTCGCCTGGACAGCGGTATCCTGCGGGCAACCTTGGGCCGGGAGGCCGGGGCTCCAAGCTTACCTCGGACACCAACGCTGTGCAAGTCTCCAGGCCAAGTGCGCCATCGCTACCCGGTGGGCGGCTCAGGGGCGGGGCCGGGGCTCGGGGGCGGGGCCTGGGCTCGCGGGCTGCGGAGGTTGGGGGGGGGGGCCGGGGCTTGGGTGCGGGGCGGGGCCGAGAGCAGAGCCCAGGCAGGAGCCTGGGGCATGGGCGGGGCCAGGGTTGGGGCGGGGCCAGGCTGAGAACGTAGCCTGGCCGCTTTCGGCGTCAGTAGCCCGTGGGCGGCTCTGGGGCTGCGGGGGCTCGGGGGTGGGGCCGGGGGTAGGGGCGTGGGCGGGGCGGGGTCTCTAGGCGGTCAGGATCCGGGACTGAGATGCGGGGGCGGAGCCAGAGCGAGGCGAGGTATCACCCGGGAGTGGAGGAAGGGCGCGGGGTGCGGGGACGGTGATCCGGGGAGGACCTACGCGGCGCGTGGGGCGGGGCACAAATGCTCCCGGGCCTGGCTCGGAGGAACTGCGAGCTGGAGGCGCGGCTGTTCTCTGGGCGGACCTCAGCAATGCGAACCCTGCCGTTGCCGGAGCACTGAGTGCCCTTCCCGGAGTCCCGCGGAGCCTGGCGAGGAGGGGTCGCTGCATCCCGAGGGCCAGCCGTGAGCCGGGAGATGGGGTAACAATTGAGGGCGTATGCTTAAGAGCAGCTAGGTCATGCACCCCCAAATCGAAGATTTGCAGACCTGGTAGGACACCTGGGAATCAGAAGTGATTTTTGGAGTATGCAACTTTTTAGTGTCAGTTAAGAGTTCGTGGATATTTTTGAGTTCTGCTGAGGCATATGCAAAGTATTTTCTTTGGGGAAGAATTCTTAAGAGTTGGAAGGGCCTTGGCTGTGTCACCTTGTCCAGTTCCCAGAGAACCAAAAAACAAAACAGAACAAAACAAAACCACCCCTCTAAATTCTGTGCCCAAGTTGTCCTATCCAAGCATGCCTAGGCGTTTTAGTATTAGGTAGCTGACACTTGTGGACCATCGATAGTGAGCCAGGCTAATTGTAAGTCTTTGGACAACCCTGTAAGGAAAACGATATTGCCCTTTTGAGCTGATGTGGAAATTGCCCTGTTGAGCATATTGCCCTGTTGAGCTGATGTGGGAACTGAGACCCAGAAAGATTAACCTGGTGAATTCCCCAAAGACATGAGGCTTGCAGGTGAGCAGAATCCAAGTCTCAAGTAACTTTAGCAGTAAGTTTCATCAGATAGATCTGGCTAATAGTGTAGGTAGGGCAACACCGAAAGTCAAGTAGAACAATTTGGGCTTATCCCAAAGCCTTTCTCCAGATATATTTTTTTGTTTTTGTTTTTGAGATGGAGTTTCCCTCTTGTTGCATAGGCTGCAGTGTGATGTCACAATCTTGGCTCACTGTAACCTCCACCTCCGGGTTCAAGTGAGTCTCCTGTCTCCGGCTCCCGAGTAGTTGGGATTACAGGCATGCGCCACCAGGCCTGGCTAAATTTTTTGTATTTAGTAGAGATTGGTCAGACTGGTCTCAAACTCCTGACCTCAGGTGATTCACCCGCCTCGGCCTCCCAAACTGTTGGGATTACAGGCGTGAATCACCACACCCGGCCTCTCCAGATATTACAGAGTGGTAGTTGGTAGGCAGAGCTGCCTCTCTCAGAGACCCTGACTCTCTCCAAGGCTGTTAGGTGACCCTCAGAGGTAATGGAAATGCAGTAATCAGATATTGCAGATAATACAAGACTCACTCATTTCCAGAAGATGAAACGGCTGTCGTGGAAATAGTTTTAAAATCTCGTACTGGTAAGCATATTTTGATAGTGAAACCTTTTGCAATACAAACTACTCTCAGGCTTATTCCTACCACAGAAAAGAGTGGGGTGTGGGAAATGAGCTTATCTTTTTCAAAGTATAATTTTAAAGATATAGAAAGAGCATGTGTCAGAGATTTACTTAGCTCATTAATTAGGGAACCAACAGGGTGCTAAAGAAGAGGTTAAAAGACTAGTTAATATAGTCCATGTAAAAAAAAAAAATGCTGGAATGGATTGCAAAGTTAGAGACAAAACTGGTTAATATCCTACAGAGCAATAAAACCATGACCTCGGGAGGAATGTTTTTCCTATTGGGTAAATCATTTGCACCTCTACCAGCTGTCATTTACTAAAGTCCCATTATATCCAGCATTTGAGAAAAAGAGAAGAGACAGACATTCCTGGCAGAGGGTCATCTTGCGTCCATGTTTGGTTTAGTAAACTGTTAAGAGGTCTCCAGACTATGCCTTGTAAACATGGCTGCCATGGCCCTGTGGGTGGGAGGGCCAGTTGCAGCAAAAGGGAACCATTGTGATTTGGGTAAATGCTCCACCTGAGCTTGAAGATCTTTGTATCTGTGCTAAGGAGTTTGGATTCCGTGCCGAGCGCAAGCAGAGAGCCATTGAAGATACAATTGGCATGCCCAGCTATCCAGTTCTCCGTGAAATCCTGGACTCCAGATATATCTTCAGGGTGTAATGCTTCTGGGTAAGAGTACGAAAGGCAGAAGCTCAGTCAAGACCTCTCTAAAGCGCTCATCTTCACCCTGTTATATAACCAGCTTCCTCTGGCGCTTATGAAAACCTCGGGGAGGGGGTCCTCCAGTCTGGTTAGATCCTGTCTAACCTGTGTATAGGGAAAAAAAACCGAAACATGGTGGTGGCCTTAAAGTGGTAGAATTGCAGGGGACTGATGCTGCCTAGGAGGGCCGTTGATGTTCTTTGGGTTCAGAGAATCTCAGACTCTCTTAGCGGGTGCCCAGGAGATGTTGTCTCCGGCTGTAATGAATCTTTCGGGTCAGGGTATCAGCTTCACAAGGCTGTGCTCAGTGGTAGTGAGGATGTTTCTTTTCTGAGATCACAGAGTAGATTATATCGGAGTAGAATGTTACATGATGACTCTGGCAGTCATGATAATTTTTATTTTTATTTCCAATATTTGCATCATCAGATACTGTTATTACAGCATATACAAAGTCTGTCGCGTTCAGTCTTGAGGAACTATTCTGATACACACTGTCCAATTAACAGTGCAAGCTAGAAATCTGGAAGAGTCTTTGATTCCCTTACCTCACTGACACCTCACATCTATCATTCACCAAATACTAGTGATTCTGTCTCCTAAATATATATTTTTTAATTCCCCCCTCATCTCATATCCCTCTACATGGTCTTAATTCATGCCCTCATTGATGTTGAGATTACTGTTACCTGGATTCCTGTAGCAGCCACTTCCCAGTGTTGCTAATTTAGTACCACCTCTGCAATCCGTTCTCTCCCTGCTTCCTGGCTGGTCTCCCTAAATTTTAAATCTTACACCCCACACAATTCTCCCCGGTCTCTCCCCAAGACTGAACATCTCTTAGTGAGTCCCCTTTGCCCGCTAAACAAACCCAAGCTCCTTAGCACTGGCAAATAAGGCCCACAAGATTTCCCCTGCCTGCCTTCTCAGGCACCTCTTTCCAGCCCACACATTAACTTCCCATTTCAGGTGAACTTGGGATGCCCAGTTTCTCTGGGTTTCCAGGTTCTCTCATTCCAGGCACTGGCATATCCAGGAATCTCCTCTGACCCACCCACTGGTTACTTCTCTTCTGAGCTCCTGCAGTCTTCCTGGGCATTTCTTTCTTCTGGCCCCTATGTCACTGTGTTTTATGTCTGATTAGTAATCTGTTTTATTACAAGGGGCATATCCTGGGAAGAATTCTACCCTATATTCAACCCCATTTCTCATTTCCGGACACACTGCTTGACAGAAAATACTGTACTCTGGGAAGGTTTGTTGGATGATGGATGAGCTATTGAAAGTTTCCTTCTAGAGCGTGCTTTTCCACATTTGATAATACGTTGTGAGTCAGTTGCTACCTTTTTATTAAGTTGTCAGAAGGTGTTAACATGAGTGTTTTTGTGGTTTGTGTGTTTTGTTGCTTTTCCAGTGAGTGGTAGCTAAAGGAAAGGACTTTGACTATGGGCAAGTTCCTGTGCCGAAATGAACCGGGAAAAGTGGTACGAAGGAAACTATGGTATTATTTAACTATAAGTTTCTGGGTGAAAAATCTATTATAGCTTTTTCCATTAGTCATTAAAATGATTAGTCCATGTTCGACGTTCTGTATCATAATTGTTTCCTGCTTTAGTTGGATGACAGCTTGAGATAAATTAAACCTGTAATCCTCTTTTCTTCTTCCTAGCTAGACTTTGTATTGCCTTCCTACACAACCTTATATGTCAGAGATATTAAAAATAATATGCTGGAATATTACCTGCTTTGGGGCATTTTTCTTATTTCCCATCGTTATAATTTAGAGAAGAAAGTCATTTCAAAAGTAAACGTTTGACTCATTTTATCACCTCTGTCTAAGTGCTTTACACCTGCATGATTTGTTCATTCATCCAAGGCTCTTTTATCCACTCTTTCTGTATGTTGCACAAGCATTAACCTGACCTTGTATTTGAGGATTACTTTTCAACTATCCTTCTGTAGCAAAAGTCATTTTTGGAGGACACTCCCTCTGAAAATGATTGGAACTGATAGATACACTGTGTAAGAAATGGCTGTTTTTTCCTGGAGTCATTCCATTTTTTTCTTGTTTATACTACAGTTTAAATAAATTTACCTGTCCTAATGAATACATAAGAAGAAGAGCAATACCTACAATTTAGTCAACCACAGAGAGCCACAAAGACAATTATATGTATTCAGCACAATGTTATATAATTTACATGCATTTAAGGGCTGAGAAGAATGTTCCAGAATGGCATCCCTGGTTCGTAGACGCAGATGGTGTCCTTATTGACTCAGCAGAGGTGCTCCTGCCTTCTCCATTCCGTATAAGAAAGAAGTACATTTAAAATTTCACCCACAAATCACCAGCTTGACTTCAAATAAGGTTGGAAAAACATAGTCAATCCTTATTTTTTATTTTTGCAGTTTGTGTATTTGAGAATTTGCCTACTTGCTAAAATTTATTTGTAAACTTTATTTTTTATTTATCTTTTTTTTTTGTTTGTTTGTTTTGAGATGGAGTCTTGCTGTCTCTCCCAGGTTGGAGCGTGGTGGCATGATCTCGGCTCTCTGCAGCCCCTGCCTCCTGGGTTCAAGTGATTCTCTAGCCTCAGCCTCTGGAGTAGTTGGGACTACAGGCATGCACCGTTATGCCTGTCTAATTTTTTTGTATTTTTAGTAGGGATGGAATTTCACCATGTTGGCCAGGCTGATCTTGAACTCCTGACCTCAGGTGATCCACCAGCCTCGGCCTCCTAAAGTGCTGGGATTACAGGTGTGAGCCACTGCACCCGGCCTATTTGTAAACTTTAAATCAATACTCATGGGGCATCTGCAACATGTCCAGAGTGTTGGAAAATTTGACTTGCCTGAAGCACGTATTCACGGCTGAGGTCAAACAAGGTGACCTTCTGCCTTCTTCTTTCAACTGTCATACTGTAAACAAATGTCCTTATTGGGATTTACTTAGTGCCACATATTTTTATATTTTTGTGCTTTTTTTGTGGGTGTGTGATTTGCTATTTAAAATGGCCTGCAAGCTTAATGCTGAATTGCTATCTAGTATAAAAGCAATAAGGCTGTGATGTGCCTCATAGAGAAAATGTGAGATAGACTTCATTCAGGCCTGAGTTTATAATGCTGTTAGCAAATTCAGTATTATTGAATCAACTATATGTATATGTGTGTATGTGTGTGTGTGTGTGTGTATATATATATATTATTATTTTTTAAATGATGTGTCTTTCAACAGAAACACACATCAGATAAGCTTATGTATTGACTGGTTGATGAAAATATAACAAGAGACTCAAAGGAAACTAATCCTGTATTACCCCTAGAAACAATGGTTCAGTATTGACTTATTCAGTGTTTGCTATGACTTTAGAAAATCTAATTATCATGAATAATGAGAATTCACTGTATATGCAGCTGTCTTAGGTTAGGGTCTCCCAGAAGCAGACCCCAAGAGAGGAGTTTATTTGGGGACTGATTCCAGGAAACCTTGGTGTAAGAGTAGAGAATTAAAAGAGGCAGGGAAAGGCAGGCATTAAAGGGTAAAATCATCAAGCAAGTTACCTCTGTGGACAACTGACACTCAATTCTACTGTAGTATCCTGGGCGCCAGTGAAGAACATGTGCCTCAGGTGTCCTTCCTGAAGGGAGGAAAGGTAAGGTATTTCTAAGTATTTGGGGATTTTTTTTTTTTTTTTAATGAGACAGAGTCTCACACTGTCACCCAGGCTAGAGTGCAGTGGAGCGATCTCGGCTCACTGCAGTCCCCGCCTCCTGAGTTCAAGCCATTGTCCTGCCTCAACCTCCCAAGTTGCTGGGACTACAGGTGCCCGCCACCACACCCAGCTAATTTTTTGTATTTTTAGTAGAGATGGGGTTTCACTGTGTTAGCCAGGCTGGTCTCAAACTCCTGACCTCGTGATCCGCCCACCTTGGCCTCCCAAAGTGCTGGGATTACAGGTGTGAGCCACCATGCCCGGCCGTATTTGGGGATTTTTCATGATCTTTCTCTTATTTCTAGTTTAATTCCACTGTATTCCAAGAACATTCTTTGTATGAATTCAATTCTTTTAAATTTGTTAAAGCGGTTTTATATCCAGTAGTATGTGGCCTATCGTGGTGAACATTCCATGTGTCGTCACAAGAGTGTGCATCCTATCATTCATTGTCACTTACTGATTTTGTGTCTCCTTGTTCCATAAATTACTGAGAGAGGAAGGTTGATGTCACCATATGTAATAGTAAATGTGACTATTTCTCTGTTCAGTTCAATCAGTTTTTGCTTCATGCATTTTGGAGCTCTGTTGTTAGGTGGCTACAAACTGATGACTGTATGTCTTCTTGATGAAATGACCTTTATTATTTTGTACTGTCCCTTTTTATCCCTGGTAAGTAATTTTCCTTTATATGAAGTCTATTTTTTATATTAATGTAGACAACACAGCTTTCTTTGGATTAGTGTTTGCGTGGTTTATCTGTTTTCATTCTTTGACTTTTAATATATGTGTATCATTATATTTAAAGTAGGTTTCTTGTAGACAACATATAGTTGTTAGTTTTTTTTTAAAAAAATCCAATCTGACAATCTTTGTTTTTTAAATGATATATTTAGACCATTTACATTTAATATGATTATTGATATTATTAGATATAGACCTCCTATTTTGTTATTTTTCTGTTTGTTTTTGCTCTTCTCTTCTCCTTCCTTACCTTCTTTGAATTATTTTTAGTATTCCATTTTAATTTATCCATTAGGGTAGTTTTTAAAAATTTTTTAATTAATTATTTATTTATTTATTTTTGCTTTATGTCTGTATTAGTCCATTCTCACACTGCTATAAAGAACTACCTGAACTGTAATCCCAGCACTCTGGGAGGCTGAGGCAGGTGGATCTCTTGAGCTCAGGAGTTTGAGACCAGCCTGGGCAACATGGTGAAACCCCATCTCTACAAAAAATACAAAAAAATCA